AAAAAAAAAAAAACATTATCGTTTTCTGAAAATCACAAAAAACTATATTATATCGATAAAGATAAAAAATAAAATGAAACATTAAAATTAAGAGACATCCTGCTATACATGCTAGCACCCTTTTAATAATATTAAAATATTTTATTCATCTATTAAAATATTATTTCTCTCTATAAAAATTTATTTTCAAAGTTTATTAGAGCATCTCAATCAGATTTTCCAAAATTTATTCAAAATGGAGAATCAAAAGTCAAAATCTCCAAAATAATTATATTTATCTCCAACAGATTCCTCGTTTCGGAGAAATCGACATTGATTATAATATTAAAACATTATTACTCTCTCTAAAAATTTATTTTCAAAGTTTCTTATCGGTGGTCTAATAGGTTAATCATTTTTGGGGTTTTCTCTATATTTGGAGAAACTCTTCTCACTAGTATTTCTCCATTTTGGAAATAGTTTTTGGGAAACTGTTGTAGAAAAATATTGGCTCAAAATTCTCATTTTCTCCATTTTGGAGAAGCTGTTGAAGATTCTCTTATTGGTCATCTCATTTGATAATCAATTTTGGGGGTTTCTCTATATTTGGAGAGAAAACCTTTCTCTATCATACTTTCTCCATTTTGGGGTAGCAGTTGTAGCAAAACTGGCTCAAAATCCCCATTTTTTCTATTTTGAAGAAGCCATTGAAGATGCTCTTATGAATTACAATGTTTTCCATCCTTAATACAAAGAAGATGAACATTCAATAATTTTTTTTTTAAAAGAAAATCTTAAAATGTACGAAACAATGAAACAACTATTTTTCGATTTTGTATTTAATGAATCTAACGAACAGACATTAAAGGAAAAGATCAAAACCCTGAAAAAGTGCAAACCCTCATGTATTGTATGTAATAAATGAAATTTTGGGGCCAATTGGCTGCTCGTGAAATTTTATGGGTACTGGGCGAGTTATAAATAATGGACCATTCGTATCTACAAAAAAAAATAAAAAAATTCTATAATAAATGCATATGATAAATATAAATAATTCATACAAAATAACTTATTCGACACAAAATTATTAATAATAGTAACTAAATCAAGACGTACTAGTATATCTTTTTCAATACATAGTACGGCCAATTAGTTTAGAATTTCTTGTGAAATTGATGACTTCAAGTATGTCTTCAATAACTTCAACTTTGAAAAATTATTTTTTGCAGATGTTAGGGTCATAGGAACTGTCAACATAATTCGATATGCAACTGAAACATTAGCGTAACAATCTGCAATTTTGACAAATTCAAGAATCTCAACTGCCAACATTGATTTATACGGTAAAGTCACTTGCAACATCTTTAATTTAGAAACAAAATCATTTAAATATGCATCTGACATATTATTATGACAAAATGTATTAGCAAAATCAACACAACATCTCATCAATTCATCCTCATCCAATGCTTTTAGATTATCAGAATTAAATAAGAATCCAAAAATACTTTCAAACTTTTTTAATTGCTCAAATCTATTATTCAATTGGAGAAATTACCATATTCACGGTTGTTAAAAAAATAATTAATTATAAAAGATTCTTTCTTCTGATGCTTCCATGTCTTGGTTATTGTTATTTTCATCGAATTGTCTTTTTATAATAATATGACGCTTAGTTAGAAATGCATGATCTATATTCATTTCACATGTTACTTTTTTAGCGGTATCCATGCTTGATGTAAACCCATCATTCCTATATTTCTCAAAGTACT